CGAGGGTGTGGCGTGTGTGTGGGGGGGGATACCGGTACCCGGGCTCCTCTGTGGAAAAAGAAAAAAAAACAACCCACCCGGAGTTTTAAGGATAGTTTCAGCGGTTGGTGGAGACTCCGTGGAGCTGCCCTGGGGGCTCGGGGGTTGGTGCCCGTCGCTGAGGAGCCGCTGTGGTCGGGTGGTGAAGTTTGTACAACCTTCCTTGGCTGTGTTCTGTGTGAATAGTTGTATCAGAAGCTTCAGGGCTGTGTCAGTGTTCTCCTTCTCTCACCTGAAGATAAAAGTTGCCCCTTCTTAATGTGCTGTAACGCTTCTGTGTGTTTATAATCGTCCAGGCAATGGAACCAACTGCAGCGAGCTGTGAAGTGGGCCTCGGCCATAGGTACGAAATTTAACTTTAGCCTCCAGGTTTAATTGCTTGGGTAATGTGGGTGGTTTTGCCATGAGTTTTAGACCTTTAGTTGCTGAAAAACTCGAGGGTTTTTTTATATTCAATATTTGATTAGCTTTGTAAAACAGTTATCTGTATCTCACCTGACAGAAATCATCTTTAACGTGTAAATAGTATTTTGAATAATTTTGTCTGTCATATTTTTAGGTGTACTCAACTTAATGAAAACTATTTTTGTGATGTTTTCCTCAGTCCTTTTCTGATACAAACGTTGCAGAGTCTGTGGGAATTGGGTTTTAGGCATAATGGTATTTCAACAATATATGAAGGAAACTAAAAAATATTTAGCAAGATGATTTACACTGACCTTGCTGTCATGTTATCTAAAATGATATGTTTTAGAATTCAGCGTTATATTTTCATTTTATTAGTTAGTTTTAAGCTATTGAGTTCTGCCTGGGAGGTCTCTTGTTGTGCTGGCCTTAGATTTCTGTCATGTTTTAACTGCTGTCATGAGACTTAATAGAGGCTGGTATGTTCCTGTTAAAAAAACAAAACGCCAAACAACAAAAAACTTAATACCTTGTTATTTCTTTGTGACCATGTATCAGTGGGGAATAGGGCTCTTCAAAGAAATGTGAATCCCTTCTATTGGGGGTGAGGGAGAAGGTGTTAATTGTTTCCTAGTTGGTCCAGAAAGTGCACAGTAAAAATATAAGCATCAGCTTTTATGTGTAAGTGTTGTGTTAGGGTTAGAATATATTTCTTGGATTCCAAAAAGAAAAAAAGGACTTAAATTAAACATACTTCTGCTTAAGGACTCTAAGGAAAAAATTCCAAGACTAGCATGGAAATGCTTTTGGGTGAAGCATGTATTTTTTCCTTATTGGAAGAAAAGCATAAACACTATAAATGATAAAAAATAAATCTCAATTTTAAAATTGCTTTATTTCTAGGAATTTTTTTTAAGGATATATTTCTTTTAAAAATTGCTTACTGTGCTTCATCCTTTTAAACAGGAGGTCGCAACATAGGAAAGATTCTTATCGCAAACCGAGGAGAAATTGCATGCAGAGTGATGCGAACAGCAAAGAAAATGGGTGTGAAGTCTGTAGCAGTTTACAGTGAAGCAGACAGAAATTCCATGCATGTAGCAATGGTGAGGTATATTCATTAATGAATTCTGTGATTGATGTTCATTCACAACAGTATTTCTCATTAATAAGTTCAATGTGAAAGTAGGTGTGTGTGCTAATGCAGGTGATTTTCACCTCTGTAGGGTTACTTCCAAGTTTTCCTTGAATCAATAAAAAGTTTGCCTAGTCTCTGTCCTAGCACCTGGCAGCTTTACAGGAAGCACACTGATGTTTGGCTCTCTAACTCCAGAGTAGTCACTGGGGGTTAGAGGATGGACTCTGATTTTGTGAAGTCAGAATTGGTTTCACCTAGTTGAGTATCTCCACGAAGAGAGGCAGTGTTTTAAACTGCTGCATGCTAGCAGTCTGATAAACAATATAATCAGCTCAGAAATTCAGTTAAATTTGCTTTTTATTATCTAATAAACAGTCTGCGTTGTATGTATTTGTCCTGTAACAGGCAGATGAAGCATATTGCATTGGTCCAGCACCCTCACAGCAGAGTTACTTGGCCATGGAGAAAATAATGCAGGTGGCCAAGGTCTCAGCAGCACAGGTAAGTAGATCACGACCTTAAATCTTCTGTTACTTCAGTCTTCTTTAGTTCTTCATTTTTCCGTCTTTTGTTTCCTTAGTGCTCTACTGAAGTTTCGGGGTTTTCTAACCTAAACTGATAAAAAATAGGCTGGTAACATTATTCTATTTTAGGCTATTCATCCAGGTTATGGTTTCCTCTCAGAAAACACAGAGTTTGCAGAGTTATGCAAGCGAGAGGGAATCATCTTCATAGGTCCGCCTTCATCTGCTATCAGAGATATGGGGATTAAGAGGTATCTATTTCTAATTTGTTACTTGATTATGCAATTTACAGTTTGACAAAGCTAATTTTGTTAACAAATGACCATTGCTCCATAATTATTTTATTCTGTCAGGTTTTATTGCCTTTTATTTTTATGGCTTTCTTCAAAGGAATAAGCTCCAGATTTATAGATGTGGGATTCCTGCAGACACAGAAGAAAATCAAGATTGTTCAGTTATTAGGATTTTAATAATTAAATACTGAACTAATTCTAGTTCTGGATGTATATGGGTCAAAAGAACAGTGGAAAAGAAACACCATGTCATCAGTGGCTATTGTGGCTCATGTAAAATGGAGTGATAAGTTCTGTTCATCACAGAGGATCTTATTCTTAGTTGCTTAGATCAAATAAATGTTTCCAAGGTTCGAAGTATAAATCAAGAATATGGAAAGCCAGGTTGGATGAAGCTTTGAGCAGCCTGGTCTAGTGGGAGGTGTCCCTGCCCATGGCAGGGGGGTTGGAACTGAATGATCTTTAAGGTCCCTTCCAACCCAAACCATTCTATGGTTCTGTGAAATAAGATTATTACCAACACACAAACTGTGCAATATTTGAAACATTTGCTTAATTACAATCAAATCATATGTAACCCATTTATATAAATAGTCTCACTGAGGTCAGTGGAACTACTTTTGTGAGGGGAATTAACACTGGGAACACATACAGGTTTGGAACTTAAAATAAGAAAAAAATATTATTATCATTCTAAACATAAAACTGTTCTGTCAAAGCACTTCCAAAGCTATAATGTCTGCTGCTGGCGTTCCTGTTGTTGAAGGTTATCATGGAGAAGATCAATCGGATGAGTGTCTAAAGGAACATGCCAAGAGGATAGGATACCCAGTAATGATTAAAGCTGTTCGCGGAGGTGGAGGAAAGGTAAAAGAACTAATCTGTTTGTCCCATGGTGTAAAGTTGTCACATCTCACTATCTGTAGCTGAATATTCTAAAAGAAATCTTTGAAAACAAAGAAATTGGAAAGCTACTTTTGTGTAAAATTTATTATTAATGTCCAGTCCAGCACTCTGGAATCTAATTTCCCTTTGTTGTGCAGTTAGGCACAAGGTAAGTAGCTGGTATAATTGGATGAATTTTGGTTTTTTCAGTGGATCTCTAGTAATTCACATAAGCAGAGAAGTTGTCCTATGGATTTGTTTGTGTGAAATTAGATGACTTTAAATTGTTACATTGTGATAGCTTCTGGGACCTTTTTTTCCAGTGGTTTTAAACGTTGCATAAGAAGTGATCAGAAATACCATTTAAGTATTTATTGTCTGGATACTTTTTAATATATGGTGAATTCCCTGTCTAAATCTGAGTTTACTCTGAAATAAATTTCTACAAAAATGCCATGATAGAGAATTCTAGTTATTTCCAAAATCACTATGTTTGTTTTGTAATGAAATCAGTTTTTCTCCATCAATCTTGGACAATTTCGATGATATTTGGGAATAAAATGGAATTTTGTACTCATCCGTATCAATGGGTAATATCTATTTTTAACACTTCTAATGGCACTTTCGTTGGGACTTGGTAGGCTTATCTTTTTGGAAGTTCATGCAGAATTTTGCTGAAGTGTAAGAAAAAGGGAAAAGTATTATCGTTAAGCTCATTTCTTGCTGTTTTAGTCATGTACCTGTTTGTGTGCAACAGGGATTTTTATTGTGTACCATATTTTTCGACATTTAGATATGCTTTTTTCCTGTATTTTAGGGCATGAGAATTGCTCACTCAGAAAAGGAGTTTCTGGACCAACTAGAATCAGCTAGGAGAGAAGCAAAGAAGTCTTTCAATGATGATGCAATGCTGATTGAGAAATTTGTAGATAATCCAAGGTGAGAAATAGATCTTTTAAAATAAACTCTGTAGTGTTTATTCTACGGTTAAATAAACAAACCTGTTAGTAGTAGGATGAAAAGTGGTCTTGTGTGTTTTGTTTACACTGTGGCAGGTGTTAATTTAGTCAAAATTGCATTGTATTGAATTTCTTTTAGTGACTGTGTTTTAGTGACTAATGTCACCATTATGAGCATGGTGACAGATTTTTGTTAGTTTTATAAATGGAATGGAGTTCAGCCACCTAATAGTTGTCCTTTGAAATGGCATCTTGAAATAAACAGTGTTTATTCCTACACCAGGGTTGCTGCCTCTTGTGAATTGCTACACAGTAAATGATGAGGGAAATCATGACTATCAAATATTAGTGAAGTGGGTTTATTTTTATTACATAACAAATAAAGAGGCAGCAGCCTTTCGATATGTACCTTGTTTATCCTGTGACCTATGAGGTTTCGCTGCAGTAGCTGGCATTTAGAATTCAGTTTCATTTAGGAGATTGAGGAAGTCTAAAACAATTGCAATCCTGCATAAGAGCAGCCTCATTTCTACATTTTTGGCTATTTGAGGGCAGACACTTAAGCCTATAGGAAGTCCTACAGAAGTGTCCCGGACCGTGTACAAGTTCAAAGTCTGTTTGGGTGAAGTCAGTTGCAGGATTTGGGCTTTATTGAAATACATTGAAATGTTTATTATAATGAAACAGGCATGTTGAAGTCCAAGTATTTGGTGACCAGCATGGCAATGCAGTCTATTTGTTTGAAAGAGATTGCAGTGTGCAAAGAAGACATCAGAAGATCATTGAAGAGGCACCAGGGGTGAGGAGAAATACTTTTTACAATATTTCTTACAATATTTTTTTATGAACTGACATTTTTAAAGTAATTGCTAACTCCCATCAAATGTACTTAGCAAGTAGTAATTGATTTTTAATTCTCAGTACCTGTCTTAATTTTGCTGCAGAAAATGTTCTAATTGAAGAAATTACTTTCTTTAGAAAGTGATTCTCAGGGAAAAATTATGTAGATTTCAAGTATAATAACATTGATAAGGATTTCACTACAGTCACTAAATACCTCAAAATGTTCATGCATAGTAGGTTTAATATCACCCAAATCCACAATAATTTATAATCTTTTGTATTATTACTTACAGCCAGGAATTAATCCTGAAGTTCGAAAGAGACTTGGAGAAGCTGCTGTCAAAGCAGCTAAAGCAGTGGATTATGTCGGAGCAGGTAAGTCTGTGGAGGTATGGCTGCTCCAGAGGTGTATTTTTAATTTAATAAGGCACTAAGCCTCAAGGCAGATGGCATCTGATTGTTTCAGAGTATTACACATGTCCCCCCATTTTTTTGAGGTTTAAGCAAGTAATGACATAGTTAATTCTGATATAATTACAAATTTAAACTAGCATGCCTGGTCTGAGCTCAAGACCAGTGGGTGCTGAAGAATAGAGAGAACAAATTTGAGAGCGGATAATTCCATCAACTAGGTGGTTGTTGGAAAGGGAGCATTGTGGATGTTAGTAAGTTTGAGCACAGCAAGGGAAGAATAGATTATCTTTCATCATAAAAAGAATAATACCATATAGTAAAAAAAACCTTTAAAAAATAACCCACAACTCTTGTCTGTAAAGCCCACACTATTTTCCAGGTGAAAAATAACCTGCTAAAATTAGTTGTGACTTTTCTCACTGCTTTCTTTGGATACTTATTTTTAAAAAATGATGACACGCCTTAACCATTTACACAATACTTTAGAGAGTCGTGATGCACTTTTTACAACTCTAACGAAATGCAGCTCTTACTGTAGAGAATGGCCGCTAAACAGCACAGGATGTGTGTGACTTTTTAGGATTATCTGTACAGGATTTAATGAAATTCAGTGTATCTGGTTTAGAAATAATAGTCTTGTCCTGGCATAAATCAATTCAGTGTCTTAGATGTCCCTTCTGAAAAAGTCTTGTTTTGGTGACATGCCCTTTTGTTACATACTTCAGGAACAGTGGAGTTTATTATGGACTCCCAACATAACTTTTACTTCATGGAGATGAATACCAGACTGCAAGTAGAGCACCCAGTTACAGAGATGATCACTGGAACAGACTTGGTGGAATGGCAGCTTAGGGTAAGTGTTAATTTAGTTTTTTTTTCTCACATGTAGAGTTCCTCTTGTCTGGTGAACAGTGCTCTTTGATATTGCCTCTGGAGACCAGATCGGTTTCCAGATCCTCGTCTCCTGTTCAGCTAGTACGGTAGAGTTTCCTTTGCTCTGAAGCAACATCTCCTATTACTGTATTTGATTGGAGAGCATTGTGTAGGTGCTCTGAATTCCAATAAAGTCTTCTTCCAATTATGTAGAGAAAAAACATTTTTAAATTATATTTAGAGAGGTTATAGAGAATGTGGAAGGTGGGAGGAGTAGGATCCTGATCTTTCCCTTGCCATGCTGAAAATTTTTTAAAACTCTAGTTCAAATGTATCTCTGGCCCAAAAATCATTCTTCAATCAGGCCATAGGAGGACAACTCCTCACAAAAACACGTGTCTGGTGTTATAGCAGTATAGTCACATTCTGAAATAAACGTATAGTTGTGTGGACTGGAAACAGTTTATTTCCTCATTCAATTTGCAGAGAAGTTTACTCACGTTCAAATGATAACAGGAAGTTTTGGATCTTGGGGAACTGGAAATGAAAACCAGTTCTGGTTAGACACATTCAAAAGTGAGGACAGAGCACACATGGAGCTTAAATAGATAAGGTGGGGAGTGTTTATTGTAACCAAAAACTAAAAAGGCAAATGCTGATGCAAAAAGGAGGAACTGGTGTGGTGTTGTTTCCTGTATTTGTAATGTGAGTTCCTTTGAGTAGTAAACCAATGTCTTCTTCCCCATTAAAGGTTCTTAAATTGTTAGAAATGCCCTTAGAGAAACATTCCCTTAAGTGTACAGTTCTCACAGCACATAGAAGAATCAACAGCATATGCCAGTAGAGCTGGCTGCCAGTAATCCATTTCATCAGCTGCAGTTGGAACAATTTTTCTCTAATAAAATCTTGTCTTAGTAGACCAGGCTTTAACTTAAACATTTCATTATTTTTTGACATAAACAGCAGAAAAAATTACAGTGTTTTTCCATTACGTTTTAGCTGTATGAAATACTAGGTCAATTTACACAGTAATAATTCAAAATCCTTTGGTGACTCCAAGAGAACAGGAAGGAGTAACTTCAGAATTAGCTTTTTATGACCTACCACTTTTTTCTCCTTGTGCTTTTTTTTTAATGTGCTTTCCAGTTCATGTTTAGAAGAAAGATATTTAATATTTCATACATTGTCACTCCACAATATTGATCCCCCATTAAAGAAAAAACACTATTGTTGTCAGGTTGCAGCAGGAGAGAAGATTCCCCTAAGGCAGGAAGAGATTCTGCTCCGAGGCCATGCATTTGAAGCTAGAATATATGCTGAAGACCCTAACAATAACTTCATGCCAGGGGCTGGGCCATTGTTGCACTTATCCACTCCACCACCTGATCGTTTCACCAGGATAGAAACTGGAGTCAGACAAGGTAAAACTAAAGGCAGTGGTGTAATCAGAAATATTTAACATCAAAAGGTTTTCTTTGTAAGTGTATCCCTCTTTGGCCTAAAGACAGGGTGTTGTTATAAAGATAAATCTCTACGAAGTTATGCTTCCCTTGTGATTGTCTGTGTGCTTTTGGTCAACCACTGAATATTTTAGTTCTTTATTTACATCTATCCAAATTATTGTCCATTGCATTACGCTGATTATATTCTCATCACAGTTTATCAACCCTGCATTCTGACTGCAACAAAGAAAACTGAATTTGCGTAATGTTGCCTCCACCAATGTCTGTACTGAAGTTGTCCTTCAATTGAAATGCCAGGTCACATCAGTTAAGATTAATGTTCTTTAAGGATATAGAGACATGTGGCCATCAGTTGTGTCAGAGTTGAATGCCATATGGATTAGTAGCTTTGAGAAAATACTTGGTTTAGTGTTACAGCATTTTTAAATATATTTTAGGTGATGAGGTTTCTGTTCATTATGATCCAATGATTGCAAAGCTAGTTGTTTGGGCCGAGGATCGTCAAGCAGCACTGAGAAAGTTGCGATACAGTTTGCATCAATATAATGTAAGTAGAAGGAACCCAGTATGATTTCAGGTCTTGAACTAACTTTGTGGACATCTTGAGCTAACAAAAAATGGATAAAATACTACAGTAAAGAAAAAGTGGTTCCTAAGAGGGGCCCTACACTGCCACTACCATTTCAGATTCATTATTTGTTTGTAGAGGCTGTATTTTTTCCTAATTTGCAGACAGTTTTCATTGGTCGAGTGAGTAGAGATAAGTATGAAGTCCAGTTTTACTGCAAACTTAAGAAAAATCTATGTGTATCTCCAGTTGTGTGATGCAGCTGGGACTTTGTAGAAGAGTAAGGCTAAACAACATTTTCAGTTGTAGTGTGAGCTTTCTCAAACTTCAGGAATTTGTAGGTGGAATTTGTGTCAGGCGATGTTTGTTTGTAATTTCTAATTTATAAAAACTATACATGTGGTAAAGAAATATGGAGAATTTTTAATGCTGTCAGTTCTTCTTAAGAAGTGGTCCCTTTTTCACCTATAAAAACTACAGGTATTGTATCTGTTTTCAAAAGTGGACTTCAGAAGGTTTGACTTGAGGTGAGACTGAATATTATTTGTGTAGAATTAATTAGATACTTTTAAATCAACAACATAGACATGACTGAAATACTGAAAGTGTTTGGCTCACTATTGTTTTAGTGAAAAATGAAGATTACTGCAAATGAAAGGGATAAAAGAATTCCCTTGGATTTTTTTCAGAATTTTCTTAGTAGTTCTGTCAATAAATGTTGGCAGCACAATATAGTTACCAGTTTCACTGATTTCTCTAAAATTATTAGTTCTGTTTTCATGTTGTTTGCTTTGGTATTTTGCAGTACAGAAAATGGATATCATCTAGTAAATTTATAAAAGTCACTGTTCCCATTTGTTACTAGTAAATAATCAAATATGGAGTATCTGAAACTATTATAACTCATTTTTAATAAGAGGCACTTTTCTTATTAGGAATGTTCTTTTAGAGACTCAGAGCATGATTTACCAAAACAGTAGGTTGTTTTCCTGAATTACCTCCCATTACTATTCCTGGGAAACTTTGACTTCACAGTGGACAAAAGTAGCTTTTCGAAAACAGTGCTTTTGAGAAAGCTACTCTTGTTTTTATTTTTTCTTTTTTTATAAGCAATGGTTTCATTGGTAATAAAACATACATCTGAATTCATTACATTTTATTGGTAAACTTTGTGTTTTGCTGATGCGGTCTGAAGAAAGATTCATCTATCATCTATGCATAAGTTGAGCAGAAAGCTGTACAGTCATTCATAACTGCATTTCAATTTGGCAATGTGCTGCTTTTATTTTTTTTTAACAGATTGTTGGGTTAAGCACTAATATTGATTTCTTGCTGAGCCTGTCAGGACACCCGCAGTTTGAGGCTGGAAATGTGCACACTAATTTCATTCCTCAACACCATGATGAACTCTTTCCAACCAAAAAGGCAACTCCACATGAAGTTATATGTCAGGCAGCTCTAGGACTCATACTGAAAGAGAAAATGCTAACAGATGCTTTTAGAGATCAGTCAGATGGTAAGGATCGTTCTTCTTTTGTTTTATTTTACTTGTGACTGGATGAGACAGTGCTGTGAACTCATGTGCAGTTGTTTAATCTGCGTGCTCCCTTTTTGCATTTGTGCCGGCCCAAGGTTCTGCATTCTGGCATCTGTCAGATACTTACACAAGCAGACTATAACTTTTGTTCAGGGACAGATACGGAATATATCAGTGCTGTAATGTACAGACTGCTTCCCACGCCACTTCAGATAGGCACTATCTGAAAGACCTTGGGATTCCTAATCAGTGTCTCAGTGTACTTTTCTCTCTCTACAAGCATAAACAGTGAGTATCTGTCAGAATTACTCCTACAGCTGGCCCAAGCTTTTCAGAGATAAAATTGACTCTGCTAGGATTGGGCGAGGCAGTAGGGTTTCATGGAATGAACAGGACTCCAGGAGCTGAACATTCTTGAGTTCTGACTCTGTTACTGGCTATATCAGTGGGGCATGTGATTGCTGTTAACAAAAACTTCATATAAATCCAACAACCTTGTTAATTTTTCTTTCCTCCTCCACTTTAACTATCCTAGAAACATGGGAGAGTGGGATTGGAAAGATTCCCATACACTGTTCCCTTGCTTCAAGAGATAGAACTAATTGGGCAATATCTGATAGCAGTATATCTGATCCATTCTCAAAAACACCGAGTAACAGGAAACTCCTCAATCTTCCCAGGCAATTTGCTGCCGTGTTTTACTATTCTTACAGTTGGAATCTTCACCTAAAGGTTAATCTGAGTTTGCCATGGGACAGCTGAATTCCTATGCTTTCTTGTCCTGTTCAAGGATGTGTTCATGGGGAACAGTCAATATCCTTCTCCTTAGTAAGTGCTGCTGTTAGTGTCATGTTTTCTCTAGGTTACCCAGCCTCAGTTTATTCAGTGTTGAAGCTTGAGTGAGGGATTGTCACTATCTATTGCAGTGGATCCCCAGTCTTTTAAGTGCAATAGAAATATTTAAATACGATGGTAGTAATAGTAGGACAGTGATTTTATGGTGTAAATTCTAAGTATTGTGTTTTGTTGAAGTAGAATGAAAGTAACGTATCTGTATATTTTGTGTTTTAGATAAATTCTCACCGTTTGCATCCAGCACTGGCAGAAGAATTAACATGTGTTATACTAGAAACATGTCTCTGTTGGATGGGGAAGACAGTAAGTTAATAAAAAAGTGTGTGGAGGGAGAGAAGATGCTTGATGGATATAATTATTTCAACTGGTGCTCGAAAATAGAAGCAGTATGAGTTTTACGCAATTTAAGCTGGGAATTCACAGAATTGCATGCTTAATCCACACTGTTAGACCTTGAGGAGATATAAACCAAATTCAAATGACACTACTTGGAACTAGATGACCTTTAAGGTCCCTTCCAACCCAAGCCATTCTACTAATGTTCACCATTTAAATGAATAAGGTTGAGATTTTTAAAAGAGCTGAGTGACATTGACTTTTTTTTTTTTTACTTTACTTTGGTGTGAAAGTGCTCAGCACTTTTTCACATCAAAAATCTGTTTTCTATCCAGATAATATATATATATTTCAGAGCATAACTTCAGGTGTTCATCTTTGAAAAACAAATTGTCTAGAATTCAGTGTGAAATCTGCAGTGTGTACTAAGCTAATCTGAAAATATTTGTTCTTTTCTTAGTATTGGTAGGTCTCTTTTTTTTAATCAAGAAAGGTAGACTAAATATTGGGTTTATGTCATTATTCTCTAGGTCCTATAATTAAATTGACTCACATATACATATTTTGTTTTATTGAACAGTTGTGGATGTAGCTGTAAGTTACAATCGAGAAGGGTCGTACAACATGCAGGTACCAGTCCAATTTTTTCAGATATTTCATTAGATAAAAGAAGAATGAGTTTCTTGTAGACTTCTCTTGGTATTAACTGTTACTAAAGTTGCTTGGTAATTACAGATACAAGATTCTATTTTTGGTTTGCTTGCAGCTGTTACAGACTCTTATTTTGGCCTGAAATGATCTTTGCTAGATGCTGGATTGGCATGGAAGAGCTACTAAAATGCTTCTGAAAATAAAGCTAAGAAAAGCATTTGCTTTTCCAGTATTTAAAGATTTTGCTCTTTATTTTCCTCTCCCTTAAATTTGTTTTTCTAAAACATTGCAAGTTAGATTTAAATCTGCATTTAAAAAGACTTTTTTTCCACAGGACTCCTGCTTTATTCTGTGCATGAGATGGATCTTCTGTGGGATAAATAAAAGCTCTCTAGAGCATTATCTGTAAGATAACACTTTCTTTTTTTTTTGAAGATGGAAATTGGAAAGCGATTACCGAATGAGATGAGGAATGATGGGAGTAGTAGATCTTCTGGTTTAATAATTGAAAGATGCCCCATAAAATTGGGTTCTTTCTATGTCTACACTGTAGAGACGCTGTAGGATAAAACTCAAGATGCTTTAAACATAGATAATTTTACGTGTGTATATGTGATAGTCTCCAACTGTGTCGCTTATGGGGGTTGTGTTTGGCTGAGTGTTGAATTCTTCTGCATCACCTGAGGTCAAATGGATTTTCTCTCAAATTTGGCACGTAGGATGGTTGCATGCTCAAGAATGCAGTCTCTCTGTAGTTCACCTTCTTGAATCCAATATTCAGAAAAGGGGAATTATGAGATTAGCCCAGTATTTATGAACTGCTTAGACTGCATAGAGATGAACGTACTGGAAAAATTGTGAGAATTCATGTGTACATCCATGTGTTTGGTAACTCAAACCCTTATTTCTACTGATACAAGTATCGAGATAACCCACATCCCTCAAGTAATACCCAGGTTATTGTGATTGTATTGATTACATATGAAATGCAGGAAAGCTCTTACACTTCGGGCTTATATAAGTAATGTCAGCAAAAATAGACTGAAAGGAATGTAAAATGGGGCCTTTTGAGGAGGGGAATGTAGACTCCCAGGGAAGAAGGAAGAATTGGGGGTTGAGATGGAAATAGAGAGAAGCTGGAGATAAGGGACGGAGAAGCAGACTCAGGAGCTGATCATGAGGAAGACAGTGCCTCTGGGGTGCTACAAAACCCGTCCTGAGGCCAGTTAAGTAGAGCAGCTTGCTGGGCTGTGGAAATGGCAAGCGCTCACAGGACTGCCCAGGGTGTTGCCCTAAGGTGCTCCCTGCTCAGGATACTGATCAGGCAAATGATTTTTTTCTTGGGGATCAGTATCATATCAACAGTATCCTTTCAATGCGTGTTACAAGGTCTTCATTCAGTGGAAAAATAGTATGCAACTATATAAATGAAGACTGAATTTTGTCTCTGCTTGTAACATCCTGAAAGACCAGCAAGTCTCTGATTCTTTGCTCAGTGAGGTTAGAACTAAAAGTACCAGTGAAATGTAACACCCTTATGCTCGTATTCTTACTGTCCTTGTATTCTGAAGTTGTGGCAGAGGTGCAGTTTCCATTGATGTAGATGAAAGGGTTACCTACAAATAAATGGCCTTTCCATTTGGTCTTTCTTTCGCAGTTTTGGTGTCTGACTGCTCTCCTCTGCTCCTTTGTCGGTTTACTGAATATATTATAGTTTTTGTATTATAGGCTTCCAAGTTTGAGGAAGTTACCTTTTGGAAAGCATTGTGCAGTCTTACGGTGTCACCTGATTAGTATGGATTTTTTAGTTTTAAGAAAGTCAAGATGACAGGACAAATTAAAAATATGGATTCTAGTAGCATCACTAAACTGAATACTCTGATTTTTTTTGTTGTTGTTTTTCCTGAGAAATAGTATACCTTTGTATTTTGCTGAGTGCTATTGCATAGTTTATGATAAAAATTGTCCTGGGAGAGCTTAGTAGCTAATCTTCTGAGCTGATTGCATTGATTATAGAATACAGTCTGTTAACTGAAAAATAAAGGATACATAAGATTAAAAAAGACTTTTTAAAAAAAAATCTAGAATTATCTGTGAAGAATCACAGGTCATGAATGTATACTAAAAATACTAACTTTTGGTTTATTGTTCATGAAGGGTTTGTCCTGATAAAAGGATTTTAACTTTCAGATTCAAGATAAAACATTCCTGATTTCTGGAGAGATCTTCAATGAAGGTGATTCAGTTTACTTGAGGTCTTCAGTAAATGGAACAGTGTGTAAGTCCAAATTGGTCATTTTGGACAACACCATTTATCTCTTCTTTCCGGTAAAGTTCCTTTCTTTATTATCACATGTATGAAATGTCAGAGTTTTATTAATGCAAATGAACAATATAAATTGCAAGCAAATGTGAAAGAGAATCATAATTTGAAGTTCTTAAATTGGCCCATGATGTTTTGATCCTTGTTGGATTCATAACTATAATTAGAAGTTAGTTGCTTGTGGTCAGTGAGAGAGAAAATGAGTTACTTTTGGAAAGATAAAATGCAATTAGGTGAATCAAAGGAGTTGCAAATGATGGTTTGAGAGGGGGGAACACAGTATTAAAATGGTCAAGTATCTAAGTTTGTCATAGAACAGCAGCGATTACTTCAAACTGACGATTATTTGACAGTGCTTGTAGCTGATATTTTTATTTTGATATATTTCATTTTTAAATGCTTTCTAATAAAAAAGAAATTGATACTGGTCTGAGGAAGGATAACTTCAGCTAATATTAAAAGATGGAAATTGTAAGTTACCATAGCGTTATCTGCATTGCATGAATAATGGCATTTGAAAGAGGAGGTACACTAATTTGCATGATTATTTGCATATTTATTTGCAGTTGAAAAGATTACGCAGCCTTAAAGTAACTAAAAAATGTAATCTAAATAAGTAAATTATTATGTATTAGTTTGAATAATTAACTTCTAGCTCTGAGCCCCTAAGACTTTAAGTGGAATGCAGGGAAAATTTTGCTGCTCCAATGATGAGGACACAATAACTGATGCTGGATTGGCAAAGCTCTGTTTTCCTGTGGTATCAGAGTGGAGTCTGGGGTGGGGGATCTAGAAGAAATCACAGGAGTTTCAGAGTATGGGTAGGATGTGGGAGAGAACGAGTCTTTGAGAAACTCTGGGTAGCAAGTCTGAGAGGAATTAGGGGATTTTGAATGATGGTAAGGATTTTTCACTAAGATTAGCACTGAATCCATTTTATTGTGAACTGTGAAACACTCACATTGACAATGCTTGGCAGCGAAGATGCCGATGTCTGTCTTTCTTGTTGCAGCAACCTGCCTGCTCCTTGTGCAAACAGCCTTTACTCATTTTCTAAAACCTGTGCTGTTGCTGCATGAATAGGGAAGCTGTGGTTTTGGGACAGTGGTCCATGCAGAGTCCCTTTTTCACAGGGATAGTTCCTTCCTTGCTGATCCGTAGCAGCAGCAGCAGGTGTGGCTTTTAAGGACTTAGACATTGGCAGATTAGTAAAAATTTGCTGCCCTGACGCCAGTAGTCTGCCACCTTAAACAGCTGACTGATTTGACTAATGCTGGGTCTGTTCTTTCCCTCTATGTCAGCATGTCTGCTAGTGGTATTTTCTGCTGTTAACTCGTACGTCATTGATTTTATTTCTGTAGGAAGGCAGTGCTCAGATCGGC